AAATAGTAGACAGGGCGGACTTTGGGTCCATAGTCACACAGAGTCATGTATACTTACACAGAATTGATGGGGGCAAGCGTGGATTCGTTAAAGAAAGTGTCTAAAATGTAGAAAGTATCAAAAATGCAGAAAGTGTCGAAAATATAGAAAGTGTCAAAAATTTAGAAAGTATTGAAAATGTAGAGTGCCAAAAATATAGAGAGTGTCGAAAATGTAGAGAGTGCCAAAAATTTAGAAAGTGTCAAAAATTTAAAAAGTGTTGAAAATGTAGAAAGTGTCGAAAATTTAAAAGTACCAAAAATATAGAGAGTGTCAAAAATATAGAGAGTGCCAAAAGTATAGAAAATGTTGAAAAGGTAAAAAATATAAAGAGTATTGGAGTGTCGAAAGTGTAGTATGTAGAGTGTCGAAAGTGTAGAGAGTATCAAAAGTGAAATGTAAAGAATGTGGAAAAAAAAAATGTGAGTTAGTTTATATGTTCTTTTATAATTCTGTACTGATCTTATTATAATACATCTGAACTTGCTTAATAATAAGTGTGTGAAAATAACCCATGAAAATAACAGTATGTTTACTATACAATTATCAAGTTTTGTTATTATTGACACTTGTAATCTTTCTATTTTTGAAATAATTAAACAATGACTTCAAGAATTCTACAGGCTTTTTTTTTTTAAATAATCTATCTTTGTTTCTTTGTTTACATGAGATGAAATTCATATAAGGATCAGATATTCAGATATCAAATATAAAAGAAATATTAGGATATATGGATATAACTAACTTGTATAAAAATAACTAAGCATAAAAAATTTTTAAAAATCATTCTCCTTTAACTAATCTTTTTTTAACTAAATAGTTAGTATGTTTCATTTGACTTTTGAAATAACTATCTATCGTACTATCATGTGAAAAATAATTCAGTTATCTGATTTGAATTAATTAGTAAAGATTTCAATTTTTTATAATTATGCTACTCCATCTACTACGTAATTTTTCAAAATGCGAGAAATTGATAATGATTATTTGAGTTCTGAAATCTGTGATCATAGTATAAAATTGGAAAAAATTGTACAAATGAGACAGAATTCTTAAAGAAATTACAAGTTGTGATAATGAATTATTGACAGGCTGCTGAATGCAAATTGAAAATGGTTAAGTTTTCCCTAGAGATAATTTACTATATAAGTAATTATTTTCAAAGGTAGACAGAGATTTTTCAGACCATATAATTGTGATTCTAAAATTTATATTATATATGTATTATTAAAAAATGAGGGCTGAAAAAATCATATTTAGTATTTTGATTATCTAGAATAATTGCCCATATACAATATATACTGTATTCTTTAAAAAAACTTTTTTATCATAATTAATAAGCATGTGTTTATTGTATATCAAGAAAAATTGCTATGAGTAGCATTCAGCAGAGATTTTTTAATAACATGGAGTACCACTTATATATCACCCTTATGGCACTTGTGCGTTATCTATGCAATATTATATTTGAGTGAAATTTCTGGATCATGAGAAAAAATATAAAATGTGACTTATCATAGATCATCATGCAGTCAAATTCACAAAAATCATGAAATTATCAAAATTGTCATGAGTCGTATTAATGTTTTATGGAACTAATATTAGTTAAAAATAATATAAATTAAGATACCGTAATACATACATAAATATAAAAAAAAAAAACTCTTTCCGCAAATCTCTCAGATCCTTAGAAATTTCCTTTTTAGGCAATACACCCAAGGAAAGAGACAA